ACTTAACCTTTATATAAAACTCTCTTATACATGAGTTTCTGTGGATTTGTTTCTCTAAAGTACCTAGACTAACACACACCCTTAGTCATCAACTGGGCCTCAGTGCCCTACCCAAGCCAGTACACCCATGAATGTAAGTATGAACACACACACACACACACACACACACACACACACACAGTACCAGGATCCGGAGCAGCAGCCACACTCACGTTCTCTCTTGGATACAGAACGAAAGGTGTACCAAGGTACCAGTCACATGAAGGGACACATATACAAACGCCCATTCTTCGTTGAGAACACGCTTTAACACACTGGGGGGTTCATCTCCCTGAGTTCCATCATTCTGTCTTTCCAGATGAGGACTGGTTGGGCACACTTCCACTTCAACTCAAGAAGCTTCATCTTGCCACATCCCTTTCCTTCAGATTTCCCTCCAGCCTACACAACCACCAAAGAAGCCAGACACACTACAGAACAGTGCTCTTTCAAAGAGAAAACACAAGTTGAACACAGTTATTTTTGAAAATTCCAGTTTATTAAACATGTTCATAAAATCACGCCGCTCTGAAACTTACAGCCTGCCTTACTTTCAAAGAATCATCAAGAAGAGTAAAATTTCTACATAGAAATAACTACAAATAAGCATGCATCACATTCCTATGGGCAATTAGCTAAAAGCCTTGGCCCCATCTGCTCGCTGGCTTACCTGAATTCTCCCCCCGCCCCATCAGTCCTCCAGGCTCTCCTTGACTTCTCTCTCCACGGTCCTTGAAGGCTAGTTTCAGAAACAGCACAGTGGGAGTGGGGCATCCGGTGAGTCAGGGTTCTCCTTCCACCTGCCAGACTTTGCCTCCTCTCCCCACCCTGTTGCTGGAAGCGTTCCCTTGTCCTCCCACCCTGCAGAACTAATCCCTTTCCATCCACCGGAACCTGTCTTTGCTTGTATCGTGTGACTAAGTACACCAGGACCTCTGGTGGTGTGGTGGTTGCATGCTGCACTGCTGAGAGGTTAGCAGTTCAAAACCACTAGTTGCTCCAGGGGACAGAGATGAGGCTTTCTGCTCCCATGAAGATTCACAATCACCTAAGCCCACAGGGCCCGTTCTACCTTGCCCTGCAGGGTTGC